AAATGTGAACATTCAGTGGGCTTCATTAGAGGTGAAATCAATGATGACTTACTAGAATCTTTGCTTGGGAGAACGTTTTATCTAGATGATATTGGTTTGACTCAAATAAATTCTTTTCAATATGGAAATAAAGTAATTTTGATGGAGACATTCAGTGATGTCGAATATTATATGAGGCATTATATGTCAGAATATACAGAAAAAGTCAACAACGTAGGTGAAGAACAAAGTAAATCCATAATCCAAATTATCTGTGTGTGACTCATATGAATGATGCTTATTTTACTGATGAGAGTGACAAATCTATTTACTGTCTGTCACCATAAGGATCTGTCTCTATAGTCATCAGTACAGATCCACTGGTACCTCTAGGAATCTGCTAGTCAATGGACGGTGGACTACTGGTATCCTTAAGAGACAAAATATGTCACTGACAGGGTTTTTTTTTTTACAAACTGTACTTATACAACAGGCGTCTGACATATCACAGTGACAGGCGATGTCATCCGTGAGTATGAGTACCAAGAGGACGGTCAAACCAGACTTTTTATATTTCTTTCTAGAGTCACACAAAACAGAAACGGCGATATCTGTGTTGTGAATGATACAGGTGACTACACAAGGTATCTAATGATTTTGTCTCCCTCTGGTCGTGTGACTTCTGTCTACCGTGGACAGATCATGAGATACAAATTCAGTTCAATTGAGGTAGCTAGTGACTCCCTCTGTAACATCCATGTTACTGATGCTTACACCAACCAGATCCATCTGCTGAGTCCTGACGGGGAGTTCTTAAAATTCTTACTGACAGACGATGAAGTGAATCGACCATGCAGATTATCGCTATACAAGTCTACGCTGTGGGTGGGATACTAGAAAGGAATTGTCAAATAATTTCAATATGAAGTGTAAAATAAAAACATCCTATCGGAGCCATGTATACGTAATTCACAGTTATACGTAAAAGAAGTCTTAAATTATATATGTAAAAGATATCACACTCTTAAATTGTAATAAAAAGAATTCATATTCATGCTTGATTTGCATATGCTGCGAGGGGCAGGCAAATGTCTTATATTCAAAAGAAGAGAGAACTAGAACCAAAGAGAATCAACCAAGAAACCAATGAGAGGTAAAAAGTAAAAAAAAAGAAAGCAAGCGGTATTTCAATGCCAAAGAGGTTATTTTTCCAATTATGAAGTTCCTTTACAGCAATTGGTACACCATTAATTTCCGTGCTGATTAAAAAAAAACGTTTATTTTATTTTGACTTTCACAAATATGTACACTAATAGTAACTAAAATGAGATATAACGAATCTAAAATATTCAAATGAAATTTTCGTTTAAAATGTGTAGATTTCAATTAGCATTAACATGACTCAAGAAAGCAGAACAGGAATGATAACCCATTTTAAGCAATTCAGATGGGCAGTTCATACACAATAAATTAACCCATAAATCTATAGATTTCACTTCGTCAGTTTTTTCACTTGTAAAAATTGATTTTTTTTTTCGATTGTGTATGTAGGTTTAATTTCTTTAGATTTGCCCTTGCATCTACCTCCAACTAACTGACAACCTGAAGCATAGATTACTTATGAAATATTTGGAACACCTACAGGTAAATATTTAAAGCACATTGCGAAAGTTGCGTTGCGAAAATATTTTATAAATACTGAATTCAAAGACACACCAATGCACTGACATATTTCTGTATTTTATATTTGTACCAAATGGAATTATAATTGTTTGAAATATATATTGATGAAAATATCAATATACAGAATACATATCTACATACATCGATGTCCTCACTTGCGAAGCTACGCACAGCATCATTAATAGGATTTTAGCTTTTGAAGCAGTATGAAAATTAACTTTTCTACACCTGCATAAAACTGTTTCAGAAGAATTTGTTTAAAAGTAAAATAAATCGATGGCTGATATACGTATGTAAATTGCGGCTATAATATGTAACAGTGCTGAATCTACCTCTCGTAATATTATAAGGAACTTGAAATTGACATATACTCATCCAAGTTCAAGATTTTGTTACGTGGAATTGCAGACAATTAATATCTAAATTCTTCAATTTCGTACATTATTTCTTATTTTGTTAATATCTTAGCAGCAAGCTAGCACAATATTATTTTTGCTTGTATAACGAAGGGCAGACGTGATTATGATATTCGATGTTTTCACAGTGATATGAATCCAGAAAAGGGGGGTGTTCCATTTTTTTTTTTCAATTTGTGAATTACAACGAAGATATTGTACAACTTTAAAACGAAAACAGGCGATTGAAAGGGGGTGAAATTGGAGATAATAGAAATAGACCTTTGTTAATACATGTAATTTAATGATATCGAGTAAATTTTAAGTGATTCATCTTGAAAGAAATCAATTACCATCTAAAATAATTACAGTCTTTATGACGTCACAATTGACGCATTTGTATTACTTTAAACGTCATGTTCAAAGGCTGACGAAGAGAAATGTAACATATGTTTTTGAGTTTTGAATTCAGATAATATAAATCGAAGATCATGCCTTTCCACAAATTTCGTTTCAAACGAACTACTGACTATCTTTTGTATATTTTATGTACAATTTTTATACAATTATTGTTATATAAACCAAATATTACCGAATGTCTAACAAAACTGGTGAATCTTTGCGACATCAAAATTTAAATGTTAAGGCATATTTCATATTGGCCACACGTATGAACAACGATTATATTAAGCGTGTAGATTCGTATCAGCAATATTTATACATAAGGTAAGTATGAAAGTTGTTCTTGACTGTGACCAGAACTAAATTTGGGGAAAATCTGTCGAAAAATCGGCATTTTTTAACGTTTTTATGAAACCATCGCATCTTCAAATCATCGCACGTGCAACAGCGCATTATTTAATAAAATGAGTTACGTAAGGAAAAGAAGTATGTAGTCCTCTAATAATTAACGTATAATACCAGCCATGAATAGAAACTCGATTTTTGTGAAAAACACAGGGCCAAATATGATGGTTCGTGGCTTTACCTCTTTCACATTTAACACGTTTGAAGAAAACAAAAACATGAGAACTCGTGTGGAACTACGTATCAAATTAATGTTTGATGATAACACATTGCTTAATAAAACGTACGCAATACTACATTAATGATTTTAGTTGAAATGCGTGCTATTATTTACACTCTGTATTTAATCAATTTGTCAAGTCCTTCCCAATGCATCACCCACAATGTTGACTTGTTATGTGATAAAGTGTATGGAGCGTTCTCTTCATTCTCTGACAGTAAGAACTTCAAGAAGTCCCCTCCAGGACTCAGTAGATGGATCTGTTTGTTGTAAATATCAGTAACAAGGATATTACAAAAGGAGTCACAATCTACATCAAATGGACTAAATTTATTTTTCAGGTTCTGTCCACGATAGACAGACTTTATACGACCAGAAGGAGACATAATTACTAGATTACCTACATGTTCATTTGTACGGTTCACAACACAAATACCACTGTTACTGCTCTGTGTCATTCTGTATGGCAATGTAAACAGTCTGGTCTGACCGTCCTCCTGGTACTCATACTCATGGATGACGTCACCTCTCACTGTGAAGTGTCTCACCAGACGTCTGCTGTGTGACTTTAAATTGTAAAGATCTGATTCCCTTTCTCTCAGGGAGACCAGTAGTCCACCGTCCACTGACTGACAAATTCCAATTGGTACGAATGGAAGTGTACTCATACTCATGGATGACATCACCTGTCACTGTGATATGTCTCACCAGACGTCTGCTGTGTGAGTCCAGTTTGTAGTAATCTGCTCCATTTTCAATCAAGGTGACCAGTAGTCCACCGTCCACTGACTGACAGATTCCTAATGGTACCAGTGGATCTGTACTGATGACTGTACACAGGAAAAATGTCCACATGTGTAAAACATGTGTTTGGTTTCACATGTTATGATGTGTTCAACACATGTTTTTCACATGTAAAACATGTGTGTAAATAAACATATGAAAAATATGTGTTTTATTTATATGTAAAACATATATAATATACACATGTAATACACCTGTGAGATTATATATATGTTAAACACATGTTTTTCACCACACATGTATAACACGTATTATATATATGTAATATATGTGTGTGAAAATACAGATGAATTATACATGTTTAATTTATATAAAATATATGTGTATTCATATACACATGTTATACACATGTTTAAGTTTTATCTCATATGTGTGTACAAAAGAATTTGTAAATGTTAGTAATTACTCATGTAAAGTTTTACTTTGTTTACCCCCCCCCTTTCCCTTCTAAAAAAACTTTCACAATTTTTTTTCTGTAAAAATGCATTAATCAGACAAAATTGATAAAGAATAAATTCATTTTCTTTTCATTTTAAATCTTTTGGGCTTGGCTTACTTCTTGAGTAAAATTAAAATAATTCCGTATTTGTCTCCGGGCCGGTTTTGTCTTTTATCGGATGAAAATGTACGTCATTTTTGACGTCACTGCTGAAGCAGACGTGCTTGGTGTATTGGAAAGGTAAGTGATCTCCAAACAATTTTTTAACGACTTTTAATTCATATTGTTTAAATATCATTTCATTATAGTTACAGGTGCGTATGAACTTTCTATGTACATGTAATACTCCTATCATTGTGACTTGTCATGCATTTCGTAAACCTAACGATAGTGATCTGTAAGTAATTTTGGAGAAAAATGTTTCTGAATGAATGTAAGCGGTTACATGTTAGGCTAAAGGCATAACTATTTTTTATAATTTGTATACAGGTAAGTAATTTTGGATAAATTTGTTTCTGAATGAACGTAAGTATTACATGTTAGGCTATTTTTTAAAGGCATTAGGCCCAATTGGTTTTCCTTTTGTTACGTACTGATATGAAAGTGAAAGTAGAAACCTTGAAACCATTGTGACTGTCAGTTGGTGTTTATGTATGTTGAAATGGCTGTCAAGTCGATTCTTTCATCAACTTAATAACAAGTGTTTGTTTTTATGGCCTATAGATGCATGCAGTAACTTGAGTTCAGTGTCACAGTGCTGCGTCTAAAAAGCCCAAAGCTGATAAGACTGGCGATTGATTCTAAAGCTGATTTGACAGATGATTGCATCATCGCAATATTAAAGGTAAAAAAAATCAAAGTAAACATCTGTAATGACTCCTTCATGACAAAATATTTCTTAATAATTTCTTTTTGTTCCTTTATAATTCTACATTATATTGTTTGCACAACTTTATAAAAAATAAGTCCAACTCAGTACTACAATAATTTTATTCTATATTATAAAACAGTTTTAATCCAGTGCACTTTTAAAATATGGAAAGTATGAATAGAATTTGCTGGCTTTAAAAGCTATGAAACTGGTACATGTACTGTAAATGACTTCGGGGAGGGGGGGGGGGGTAATTGAATTTTTGAATTTCAGTTAAAAATTAATAATAACAGTGACATCCAACATTCAAGGTACAAGTACATGTGCATATAAATGTGTTGATTGTTGAAAGTACATCAGCTAGCTAATCCATCGGATATTTACATCTATCATGTGCCTGACATTTATAATTTTTTTTCCAACACTAGAGAACATAGTTTCTGGTAAAATGTAAGATATTAATTAAGACTATTTAGAACCTACAAACATGTACTCTCTCTTTTTTGTAGCTGTAGTTTTGTAGTTTAATTAAGTTTTAGTTATGCTTAGAAGATATCTACTGCATGAATATTTGTTTTACAGGTTCAATATTCAGTCAGCGTCTCATAAGAATAAATCCCAAGATCCAAGACTTGCTTAAAAGCTTAATTAAGGTAACTACACACTGTTAAATAAACTTTGTTATATTCTTCCCAACAACGTTTGGGATATCCTGGAATCACACTGTCTGTTTTTCTGCCTGTCTACTTCTCTTGTATTTTTTGTCCAAAAATAAAATATATTTGTGTCAGAATCTTCTTAATTTTTGGCAATATGAATTAGTAATACTGTTTGAACATTCCGAATTTAATTGTCAAAATAAAAAAAAATGTTTTTAATGACTTTATTATGAAACATATCTTCCAACAGTGTAATTGTCTTGCAAATTACATCATAGGATTCCACAAAACACCTAGTATAACATATATAACATTAGTTTTATCTCGTATCATATCTGTGTTGGTGAATTGGGCATACATTTGTTTGCTGAACTTTAATATTACTTGTAGAATTGATTTTGTAATTTAAGAATTGTTTTATTTTTACTTTTGAAATTTTTGTAGAGACCATTCTGTGCCACAAAGAAATTGTTCAGGAAAGGGAGAAATGGTGGATTTGCATTTTGGGTACAGTTCAAACAGAGTTCAAAAAGGTCAAACTCATGGAACAACTGAAGAAAACTGAAAGATACAGAAGGAAAAAGAACAAGAAAATATATGAAATAATTATGAAATTGGCAGGATGTACACAATCTTGTCTGCATTTGACCTGTAAAGATTTAATTCCCATTCTTATTTGTATGCTGTAATATCAAATAACTTGATTTTTCATAAATTTACAATAGAGAATACATGACAAATGTTATATTTCAATTTTGATTTGGTGTCATTTCCTGTCAAATCATATTTATAAACAAGTACATGGACTAATTATGTTATTCATTTGTACATGTATGCATGTTTAACTATTTAATCATTTTGTGGAAATCTTATAATTTGTACTCAACTTAGAATATGTAAAATACATGTATCGACAAATGCTACTGACTTGTTTGTATACTTTCCTGTTTTGAAAGTACACTGAAAAATAAGTTATTTCTCTTGATGAAAATAATTTATCAAAAAAGTTGTGTAAGCATTTTAAGATATTTATTTTCAAATATTTAACCCATGAAGATAGATCATTGAAATGTAATGGATTTTCATCTAAAGCAGAAATATCTGATTTTTAAATGTGTACAAGAATGTGTTTTTCCTTCTGATAAATATTGAAAGAGAACACATGTAACTATTTCATATGATTTACATATGCTGCCCTTTTCATATGATTCACATATGTGGACATGCATGAAAAAAGTATAAAAATGATAATAAGTACAACAGTAATATTATACACGTATAATTCACATATAAAGTACAACATATATAAAACACATGTTTAACACATGTTTCATATGTATAAATATGCAATGTGTTTATTTTTTCACATGTTTAACACATGTGAAACATATGTTTAACATGTGTAAAAATAAACACCCTGTACATGTGTGCTCTTTTTATGTGTTTTACATGTGTAAAAAATATATGTTAAACACATGTTTAACATATGTTTAACACATGTGGACATTTTTCCTGTGTAGAGACAGATCCCGATATCGATGGTGACAGACAGCTGATGCACTTCTTAGTAAAGTCAGCAAAAAAAAAAAAATAATAACATCACTGTTTTTAGTGACACATATGTCATTACCATTGATTCGAATTATTTGTTTTTTGCACCCTCTTTGTTAACTTTTTCTATATATTCTGATGCCCCTTCTCTTATGAAATATTGATCTTCACTGATTGTCTCCAACACAAATATGAATTTATCTCCATATTGAAATGTGTTTATTTGAGCCATTCCAATATCATCTAAATCCCAAGTCCTTCCTACCAAGGCCTCAAGTAGTTGATCTTTGGTTTCACCTCTAGTGAATCTCACTGAATATTTACAATTTGTGGAATGGCCCTTTAAATCAAAGTCAAGCAATATTGTCAGTTCTCTGTGGTTGTAAATCAAGCTGTAATCTGACATGATGCTGTTGTTCTCCTCTATGAATTCCACCATTTTAACAATACCTCTCTTTTTCTTCTCTAATTCAGATTTCACATTGTTCAGTTAATCAGTTTCCATTTTCATAGTGTCTCTCAATGTTTTCTCATGCCCTTTTATGATTTCTTTTAGCCTGGCTATTATCTCATGAACATGCTTCTAAAGCTTTTTAATCTCAGAGTCACAAATTTCTTTATTTTCTGTGATCTCTTTTGAAACCTTCTCTATCTACACATCAATCCTAGACAGATCTTCTTTAGTGATCTTCTTCAGAAATTTAAGCAGACCTCTCCTTCTTTCAGTTGCTGCCGTGGGTAGAGTATTCCAATCATGATTTCTATGATCTGTTTTGGCACATTACCACAAATTAACTCATCACAGTCCTCACATAACATATCAATTCGTAAGTCATGAGATTTACACATTTCATTATGTTCTTGAGGAGAGACCACTGGATGTTTTGGACTAGCAGCCATGTTTGTCGGGTGTTGCCTTGTGTCAGATGTTAGTGGGCATGTTAGATAATTACAGGAAACAAATAGAAAAAAGGGTCCAAATCGGTTGCAAACCATGGGGCAACAGTCTGAATCACGGGATCTGTTATTAAATGTATATAGTATTAATTTGTTTATAGATAAATTCCGGTGGACTTAAAACATTACTTGTGACATTTCAGGCGCGGATTTTTTTTTATAAACAACCAAGTTTTCTTCATACATACGAGCATGACGAGGACTGTTCAATAAATAATGATCTGAACTGTATGACATACAATACAGATATCATTTGAAATAAAACTTGACTTTCTCTCATTATTGAATCTTTAATGAATTTATTACAGTTCATGTTACCACTTTTCATCACATTTTTTCATCGTGAGAAGCCGGGAAACATTAGGTCTCTTCGAGACACTGCATTATAAATGAATGGTAAAAAGCAGTAAACTAGAGTGAAAATAAAAGCTTCATTAAAGCTGCTGTAAAACTTGTTAAAAATCCCAAAGAAATACTGTATACATGGTTATTTTCGCCCCGTGTTATTTTCGCCCTTTCACACTTCGAAAAATTTCACCCCGCTTTAAATTCGCCCTGTCGAAGTTTTGTTTAAGAAATTGTACTGTATTCATTGAATTCGCCCCGTTTTAAATTCGCCCAAATGAGGGTAGGGCGAAAGGGCCGAAAATAAAACGGGGGCGAAAATTTCCCTGTATACAGTATTCACTGAAATGTGACATTTACAGCAACCAATGCCTGTTTTATAGACAAATGTAAAGGTGGAATTCAATGATAAAAAAAAAATTATAATGGGCATCAAAAGTAGGTACCGCCCTTGCCAACAAAATTATAGCAACTTATGTACTGTTTGCCAAATTTCCACAAATAATATTTGATGATGTATGATTGACTTTAAGACACATAACAAATTTGATACACATCATATCGGGAGTAGTTTACACTGTTTTTAAGAAACGTCTGACGGTAAAAAAGCTTGGTACTCAAATGAAATTTTGCATAGCAATTCCCTATGGACTACAGAAGAACCTTTTGATTCTGAGCTCAAAACGTCAAAGGTCAAGGTCATGAATTCGCGAATTCTGTCTTCTATAACACTTTTGTGTCCGCGCTATATCTCGAGAACCCTTTGAGCTTTTGCGATGAAATTTTACATAACAATGCCCTGTGGATAAAGGAAGTCCCCTATTGGTTTTGAGGTTAAAAGATCAAAGTTCAAGGTCGTTAATTTATACATTCTTTCCAGGCGATATGTCAAGAAGATTTTGAGCTTTTGCAATGTAATTTTATACCAAAACTCCCTAGGGCCTCTCTCACCCCTCTCAAAGTGCCCCGCCCTGTTTGAGTTTTATATTAGCATTTATTGTTTTACATGTCGCTATTTTTAGCACAGGGGAATGAGGAGAGTTATTACGTACAAAACAGGTTCTCAGCGGATTTTAAATTCTTATTACATCTATTTGAACTGTTCAATAAAGTGTAATTTAGACACCATGCAATGTGTAAAATTTTGACAACATCGAACGGAACATGTATATGACTTCTTCTTTGCATATAATTTTTGCCAGATTAAAGCGGCTCCGTACGTGGTGTAGTGAAAAAAAAAGTCTCTTGCTTCACATGTGAGAGGCCCCGAGTTCGAATCCCGGACGATTATTTTTCTTTTTTTTCGAAATGCTTTTATTTTTACAAAATGATAATATTCAGCATGTGAAATGAAAAAGTTATGAGGTCTGGCTTGTACAAACTCATGAAATCATCATTACCGTGTGATAAATATTCCATATAAAAAGAATCTTCTATACACATAATAAAGAATACGCAATTAAATCTTTATATCCGTATTGGCATATGTTATTTGCTTCAGTATACATATGTACATTTAATAATTCTACAAATTCCCCTCCACCGAACAGTGCATGGTTTACTTTTTTCCTAAGTGGGGGGGGGGGGGGCACAAATCCTCTGAATTAGCATGTTAATAAACAATTCGACACTCTTTATTATCGGCTGCAGTAGCCGATCTATTTGAAGTTGTTAGAAAGTGCACATGAGGATATGAGAAGTTATTTTTTTTAATTAGTTCAGTAAAATTATTCTTAAAGGACAACATGTAAAGTCATGAGTAAAATATTGTTTTAAACTCATTATTATATTATAAATAATGGACTAACAATCAGCATTTTACTCAATGAAAAATCTTAATTGTTGACAAGGTCATTGTTTTTAAAAAAAATATTATATGAACATGATTTTCCATACAAACAACAATTATGATAGCTTTTAAAAATTTTCAATCAAAGTACAGTCATCTAAGCCAAAAATGCATAAATATTATTTTTCTCTCTTAGAAAATTATCAATATCTTTTTTGAGGAGCTCAAAATAGAAGTGCAGTTTTAATTCCAGAAAGCGAGTATAAATCTTAAGAAAGATACGAGCAACCGATGGGTATGGATGACATGTATAATTACTGTGAAGGACAGTATTGTCGTACACGGCATATACATTGCAAAGCAATGTAAAAAAATGAAATCACATAATTAAGAGTTACAAACATTCAAGTATCCATTGTTAATTGGAATGATTTTTTTCTTTCTATATCATCAAGGTTTAAGCAAGAATTCAAACTTTAAATCTTAAGGTTTGGATTAACAGATAGAGGGACATAAAATTTTAGTTTCTATTAAATATAAATAGAAACAAGCTAATTCATAGAATTTGTGTCCTCCGCTTAGGGAAAAAGTAAACCATGCGCAGGGGGTGGGGATGGGGTGGGGTGGGGCTGGGGGGTCGGATCCCCTTGACTGAATTTGTAGAATTATTAAATGTATACTAAAGCAATAAAATATGCCAATATGGAAATAAAGGTTTGATTGATTATTCTTTATTATGTGTGTAGAAGACTCTTTTTATATGGAATATTTATCACACTGTAATGATGATTTTATGAGTTTGTACAAGCCAGACCTCATAAAGTTTTCATTTCACATGCTGAATACTATCATTTAGTAAAAAAAAAAGTATTTCGGAAAAACATTTAGATTTTGCGGGATGGGAACCCTGGCCCTCTCACGAGAAGCGAGAGACATACCACTAGACCACGGAGCCGCGTTATCAAGGCGAAAATTATTTAAGAAATAAACAACATGCGCTAGCGCATCATGGAAAATATGCCAGCAGAGCTATTGCTATTCATAATACCATGTTCACTGAATAATCGTTGTTTATTACTTATACATGTATTTGCATTTTTTGATTTTTTTCAAGAGTATGTGTTATCAGAGGAAATCCTGACTTACATAAGGACGCAGCTTCTTGTCTTCAGTATAGAAAAACATACGGCTTTAAAATCAGTAAACCTGATTAATGCTCCTTTTCTCTAATAAATCACAAACAATTTATAAATTATTTCCCTCTCATACAGTTATCTGGAT